AATGCTTTGTTTGGGCATATCTTTTCTCAGTCAGCATGTGAGGTGAAATGGGGTTTAACCTCACATGAAATATGATTATACTGTGGAAGTACTGGTCAGTACCAAGAAAGGTACAAATAACCTACTAGTGACACAGAAATCAATACCTAGCTAATTATAAAGCCAAAAGGAAATTACACAAGTAGTGAGTATGGTTTTGCGCCGCTTTTAGCAACATCACGACGGAGGACACTAGCAATGGGCTTCACGTATTGTACCCATATGCGGAATCAAACTCTGGTCTTCAGCGTGAGGAACAACGCTTTAACCACTAGGCTACCCCACCGCCTCAATTCCACAGCTGGGGCGGTGGGGTAGCCTAGTGGTTAAAGCGTTGGCTCGTCACGCCGAAGACCCGGGTTCGAATCTCCACATGGGTACAATTTGTGAAGCCCATTTCTGGTGTCCCTGGCCGTGATGTTGCTGGAATATTGCTTAAAGCGGCGTAAAACCAAATTCAGTCAGTCAGTCAGTCAATTCCACAGCTAACTGGATCGACATTATATTTCTTGGAATGACAGCACTGGAGGCTACGATGATGTCTTGCGAGGTGACAGGGGCAGATAACTATGTGTGTCAATAGTTAAGCGTAAGATCAGTTTATTAAATAAGCAAATACGTCAACCAGATTAGCTGTTTATTATAATAACAAAACAGATATCACATCATTGACCAGTCTGCATTGCAATTGTACTATTGTGGCGGCTTGTTACTGGGCGTTGCATCGAGATAATAACAAAACAGAGTCAATGCAGACTGTCTAGTTTCCAGTTATATTGAACAAAACGATTCAAAATGTCTGCATAATATGCGTGTATCCTTTTGCGCCTTGAACTGCCAAATGTCAGATAGAGAAAACATTGATAATCAATTAAATCATTACGCCTTGCTTCAAACAAACCAAAACTATTGTCCTAATACGTGGGATGATACTTCTTTAACATCTAATGTTCAACATCGGTGTAGGTAGGTATTCAATTGTTATTTAATTACACACACACACACACACACACACACACACATACATACATACATGTGTGTGTACATGTGTACATTTACATACATGTATACATAATACATGTGTGTGTACATGTGTGTGTGTGTGTGTGTGTGTGTGTGTGTGTGTGTGTGTGTGTGTGTGTGTGTGTGTGTATGGATATATGTACATACATTCAATATTCTGGAATCCCACATGGGTACAATGTGTGAAGCCCATTTCTGGTGTCCCCCACCGTGACATTGCTGGAATATTCCTAAATCACTCTTAAGAGATTGCCTAAATTGAGTGATTCCATCCCCGTGTTAACATGATACTTGGAAGATGGTCAGCGTGTAAAATCACAACCAAGTGTCAGTGGTCAAAATTAATGGATATTGTCAATTGAGATGACTCAATTCTGCATTAAAATTTCTGATGAATAATAAAGCGTTGATTAATTTCACCACACTACCAACAATGTGTGCAAATGATGACGTCTAAATAAAGCCATCCACACTAAAACATCAACTTCTTAGCTCTATGACATTTGAATACAGTTTTTATTTAATACCAATTTCAGAATTCCTAGATCTAAAAATCCTCGTTAAATCTGAAACATCATTTTTTACGACAAATATAACCGAATTATTAGGTCCCTGAACTTTTAACTTTCTGTAAAGAGTATGTTTTAAGTTTTTTACACAGTTATGACGCATCTGTCAAATTAAATGAAATAAAGATGTTTTAAATTCCACGCCATGAACAAATCAAGGCTCATTTCGATTACACATCTGTTTTATCGTTTCTTTTCCTTTTCGGATTTTCAAGCTTCATTAACCTTAATTGGGATTTTTTCTATTTTTACAGAAAAGTAATTTCAAATTTGCTGACATGAACAAATCGCAATATGTTTCAATTATGTCTCATAATTCCACTCGTGCAACCTCTAACTCGTTTTTGTTTTTTGTTTTTAAATACAAGCTTGATAATGCATTTCAACTGGCTGAGCAAGGTGCCTTACAGAAATCAGAAGAAGAAAGTGTGAATGATCAAGTAATGTCTGTATGCTTTTTCTTAAAATCGACATTAACAAAAAAAACGAGATCCATGATAAAAAATGATATGTTTACAGCAATTCAGAACATCAGGAGCCTATACAGGAAACAATTTCAAACTTTAAAACGATATCTACCTTTTTCATTCTAATCTGGGTTTAGCTGTTATTGTTTTTATAATATACTATTAAAAAAAAGAAACGCATAACCCAGAAATCTGTTGCGAAAATGATGTATTTTCAAACATGTATAACTCGTCCACAAATAAACTTTAGAACATGAATCTTTACATCAAGGAAATTTGACCGGATAATGTTACTCGGAGACGTTGAGCGTCCGACGGCACCCTGACGCTTCCTGGGTCTCAGTTCAATCTCTCTCAACCCGTACAGGCATATCCTCCGAAGTCCAGGCACCCTGGCTTCTGTGTTCTCACCCGTGGCAGTACGATCACACAAATGATGTCCCGGATGTACCAATCTTGGGCTGTAGTGGTGACTCGAGGTCTGTCTGTACGGGGACGGTCATTTGTTACACCTGTTTGGTTGTAACGGGCTGCAACATTCAGACGTCTGGCAACAGAAGATTGATAATCTTCAGCGTGCATTCTTTCAATCAAAACGAATGCCGATTTCCGGAAGTAATCTGGATTTTTATAGTCCGACAGTGCATGCGCTTTGCTACACAATTTTAACTGGAAAGTAATTTCTGTTGCGTTGTGGCGATGCCTTTTTAATCCTTGTAAGAAATCTAAACAAAATCAACAAGTAAAGTCGATCTTTTTCTTGTGCAATTGTGTAAAATCATGTTATCAACACTTTTGTTTGAGGGCTTTGACTCCTCGGGGCAGTGGAGTGGCCTAGTAGATAAAGCGTTCGCTTGTCACTCCGAAGGCCCGGGTTCGATTCCCAACATGGGTAAAATGTGTGAAGACCATTTCTGGTGTCCCCCGCCGTGATATTGCTGGAATTTTGCTAAAAGCGGTGTAAAATCAAACTCACCCACTCACTCACTTTGACTCCTCACGCCTAATATCAATGTTCGTTTGACAGCTTGGGTGGTATAAAATGACTTTAAAAGTTGCCATCCTTCCTCACACACTCCACAGGCTACATTTACGGTCTGTATTGTACGAGACACACTTGGTATTTGACAGTGCGCGTACGTGCAGCCTTTAAATCGTATATCAACTACTTTTAAAGTTCTGAGTATAATGAAGAGTATATACGAACGCATTTGCGGTGAACTAGATCTGAAGACGGTCGATTGGCGTTTGCCGGGTCCGAACCACGGTTTGGGCATTCCCATTGTTCACAACATGTCTCTCGCGGAAGCCAGCAAACAGCTAGTGAAAGATTGGGGTTACAAGTCGTATCATTACGTCAAGACGAACGAGTGGAACGACGATTACATGGCTTTCGACGACAGCAAGGTTTACTGCGTTTGGAGGTTTGAGCAGGGACCCGCGGACGATTGGAAAATGTTCATGCTGGACACTTCAAAAGGGTTTACTCATGCCGGTGTCATCAGATTGAACGATTCGATTCGAACGGACGTCTGGGCCGTGCTAGGCGCTCAGACGCAAACGCGTTCCAGCATCGTGGGTCGTGAAGGGACGGCTTACGACGCTCAGAAACAGTTAGTGGCTAACATCGAGGATGCTATTGCTAGACCAGTCGATCTACCGAGTGCCATCGAACGCTATGAAAACGCACTGGAATACGCCCGGTCGAAAGTCGACTACGTGTTCGGCGCGGGACTGTACATGGCTCCGAGCGACATGCGACTGAGGGTGAACAGAGTGGTGGGCTCCAACAATGAAATCGTCATCGCGACTGCTGATCAAAAGGTTGGTTTGAACCAGGACGTCAATAACGCGAGTCGAGTCGTGCCGCAGTACGAAACGGGCATCGTGGCATCACCACCGGAAGTAGAAGTAGCACCACAACAACAGCATCAGCAACAGCTGCCCCCGCACGTGCAGGCAAATAATCAGCGGCACGTCGATCGTAAAACAGCTCTGGTGGTCGGTGGGATCGCGGTCGGACTGTGTCTCATTTGGTTAAAAATACCTGGCGATGTACACCAGACCCGCCACAGGGACAATGAAAGCCCACAGGTTTTGAATGAGCCACGTGACCGTTTTCGACAAGAAGCCTAACAACCAGGAAACGATGCTGCCCAAGATGCCAGGCAGCGCTTCGACGGCTTTGCCGGCCATTTTAGCCAGGGCTTCACCGAGAGATTTCAAATGGGTTTTTTATCCAGTCTCTGACATCGCCTGATGGGCTTGTTGGTGTTGGGCTTGGTGTTGTACCACCACCGCCCATCAGCAACACGACCAGGGTCGATATGATAAAGCCCAAAGCCATCAGAACGCTGGCGATGGTGATCCCTTTGTACCCGGAACAGAATTCGGATCCTGTCGGCCAACGTGGTGTCCTCGTTCAAGACTCGGTCGATGGTTTCGCGCACGCGGCTGATTTGTGATCGGAGGGCTTCCCGGTTGGAGGAAGCGGCTTCCAATCTGGTCCGTCTCTCGTCTTCCAGGTCGCACAATCTTTTCTCGATGATGGTTTTCATGGCTTCGTTGTCGTCCACGATCCTAAGTTTTCTTTTCTCGCGAGCAATGTGCTCGTTGATTTCGTTCAGTTTACCCATGTTGTTCACAAGTTCTCTGCACACGTTTTTCAAGGCTTTGTCTAGACATCGAAGTTCTCTAAGAGGAAATTCGAACTCAGGCAAGGGTTCGTTCGAGTACGTGACTAATATTTTTGCGATTTGGTCTGACGCTTCTATGGCACACAGGGGCACTTCTATAGAATCGGCACCACCACCGAGTACGATTTGCAGATCTCGGACGACATTCAGCGGAAGTTGTTAAGGTCATGCGCCGCCGCCATAATCTCGCAGGTTTAGTTCGTTTTTCTCGTGTGTTTGTTCATGAGATCGACCTCTGGATGAGCTTTCAATCTCACCGTCCCTTAATTTTTATCGCACTTTAAAGCATCGTAATATTCGTCCATGGCCTACTTAAAAGCTTGTTGCCCACGGTGTCCCCATGAACGAGGTGTCTGCTACATCATCGTCGTCGTTCAGCTGGTGTAAGTCTTAATCGTCCATGGGAATATCGTCAGCCATTTTTTTTTATATTAAACTTATAATATACATTGTTTCAATATAAACAATGTCGCATTACGGGCATGATCGATGAAAACCAAACGCTGCTGGTTCGATTCCCCAACCTAGGTGCGAACGACGTCATCGTCCCCGCACAACTCGACTGGCTTTTCACATCACGTTGGAGTCCGCGGACGACAAACGCACGATCGTGAACTACCTGGGTCGTGCCATCGTCAAGAAAACCCCCAACAAAATCAGCGGGAATGAGGTGCTGAGCATCGACGACAGCGACATGTTTTACTGTTGCATGGACCTCTGGAGAACCTCGGAAGAACGCGATGACATGGTGTATCAAGGAATTAGACGTGATAACGACCAATCGAATGACCTACGTGTTGAAAAAGTTTACACACCAGACCAAATAACGAAAGGTGGGAATCGGGTTTGCATACCGGTCGACTTCGAGCTGCTCGAGGGGCACATGCCATTTTACCAGGCCACGCTGGGCGACAGGCTGGAATACGAACTCATGTTCAACGACTACGGCAAGTTATCTTAATGCCGGACGACACCGAGGCCAGCTACGTCGTCGACAACATCTCTCTGGAGTTCGACATGGTCACGAGCACGGAGCTGGCCCGGCAGATTCGCACCCAGTACTTGGGAAAGTTTTCCATCCTGCACGCGTGTTGCGACATCGGACGATCGTTAAGGACAAGAGCGACACGTTGTGGAACATCAACCTAAACGTGCCAACTCGATCGATGAAAGGCATCTTAATCATTCCTGTGGCGGAATACAAGCTGTTTCGAAGTGACAGCGTACTCACTTGCAATCCCAAGATCACGAAAGTGGAAGTGACCGTCGAGGTCGTGCCCAACCAGCTGTTCAGTCAAGGCATACGAGCTTGCCAGCAGTGGGACGAGATAAAAAAACTACTGGCCATCAAGCAACACTCGCCGGAAGACAACGACGGGTTTCACCTACGTGATGCTCCATAAGTACCTGTTTAAGTATTATGCGCTGTGGCTGGACATGAGATCCACAGACGACACGGCAGCGGAAGTCGCATCGACAATGGCAGCGAGGGGATCACCATCCAAATCACAAAAAAAAGCTCAAAATCCGGCCGGCAAGTTAAAATTATATTTGTACATGATTATGGGCGCGCAACTCAATATAGACAATGGAAGATTCGTGCAAGCCATTTATTGATTTACCTAGCAATCCCCACTGCGCCATCGTGTGCAGTCAGACGGGGTGCGGCAAGACGGCATTCGTGCTGGACATGTTGGAAGGATACTATCGTGACGTGTTTGACCACATCGTCATTCTCTGCCCGACTTTACGGGTGAACAAGACGGTAGGTGATGACTGACCCGGACGTGCACAAAATCGATCCGGAACTCGTCTGCAGCACTGTTTGCGCACTTACCACGACAAACTGAAAGAAGAATCAACTCTGTTTATCCTGGACGACTGCAGCGCCAACAAGGAGATGGTTAAAAAACGAGACGCACTGTCGTACCTGGACACACGAAGCACAGCGTTTGGATTTTGACGCAGAAATTCAACTCGGTGTTGAAAGATTTACAGGAACAGACGCGATGGGTCACCCTGTTTCACTGCAAGGACAGGGATTCGTTCGAGGACTGTTTGCGAGAAAACGATGTGATCACTAGCAAACAAGAACGAGAACGACTGAAGAAACAGCTCGCCGAAACGATCTGTACAACACCAGCGACTACCCTAAAGATCACCCTATACACAGCCAAGTCAACAAAAAAAATGCTCGGCAAGATGAATGACTAATGTGCGGCACCCGATCGTCGAATACGTCGGCTTGAGACCCAAGACACCGAAGGCGACAAAATCAGGAAGGCAAAAGACGAGAATAAATACGTGGTGAAAAAACACATCAAGCACACCAGATTCAAGGAAGCCCTGTTCAAGTATAAAATGTTCAAACACCAAATGAACATGCTGAGAAGCGACGGACACAGGATACACGGACTGAGAATCAACAAGACCTCACTGTACACGAAACGATGGATCGCCATCGACGGAGTCACCACTTACGCGTTTGTACACAACACCCTGTTAAATAATTAAAACACACGCAATACATACATCATGGAGAAAATTTATTACAACCCAAGAAAGGCACAGACGCCATCCCGAAACTCGCCAAAGCCACTAGAGTCTCGGAAGAAGTTGCCAAAGCTTGGCTTAAAAAACAAGCCATCTAGCAAGTTTACCTGCTGGCGCCTCAGTACATCCCAAGGAGAAAATTCGACATTTCAACGCCGAATCGCGTTCACCAAGCCGACCTCCTGTTTCTCCCTCACGACAGGGTGAGGCGTAAAACCTACAAGTACGCCAGTCGCTACAAGGAAGCCGAACCGTTGATGACCAAAGATTAGAACGAAGTCGCCAAAGCCTTAGAACGCATATACAAACGCAGTCGCTTGACATGGCCTACTGTATTGCAAGTCGATCCCGGACGAGAGTTCATGGGAGCTGTGTCACAACTGCTGGCCAAGCACAAAGTCCAGGTGAAACGAGGTATGGCAGGAGCTCACTGAAGCCAAGCCAAGCGAGAAAACATTACCGGACCAGGTCAGCATAAGGTACTTGTACCAGCCGGTAGAAAAAGGGGGAGACAGCAGAAAACGCGCCACCGATACGATATGCTCCATGAAAACGTACAACGTAGACCTTGTCGACATCAAAGACGGCGAAACCGAGCTTGTAATACTTGAAAGACGGACCGCCGAGAGCATTCGTCAGAGAGGAGTTGATGATCATACCTCACGACACAGTCCCTTACACATCACCCCCCGTGTGATGATAGTTTTTTGTCATGATTTTTTATCAGTCTTGCATGCCCATTTTCTGCTTAATGTAGCCAGCCAGCCAGCCACCCGTACACTAAGCCGAGAGAGACACACCGAGAGAGACTCGTCCGCCCACAGCACTCGGAGCAGCAACCACCCCTGAGGCGACCCGAGCCTTTTTCCTGACCGACCCCATGCTCACTTAAAAGTCAATATTTCAGAAACTATTCTACCGATTTTCATCAAATTTTGCATGCAACTCAGTAGTAGTATACACAATGGTGGTACGGGATTAGGGACTCCTCAAGGGCTCAATTTTTTAAATTGAGCCCTTGGGGGGACCTGGTCCCGTACCACCATTGTGTATACTACTGCTGCCTTCTTGTATAAGTTGACAGTACTTGCGAGAATCCATCCTTCCTGTAATAGTTAGCAGGGGCATAACCCCGAGTTTGCCTATATACCACCCCAAACCATGACACTGGGTGAGAACTTCGGAACAATTTTGCAGCTACGTCCACCTCTTGACCACCTCTTTCTTGTGATCCTATAAAACTGAAACTTTGATTCATCCGTAAAAATCACATTTGAAAAGTTGTACCCTGCATTTCCCTGCACAACTCGAGCCTTTTCCCCATATGTGCTGTTGTCATCAATGGAACTTTCTTCGGCACTCGCTTGACATATCCAGATTGCTTTGAAGATCTTCTGATTGTCCATTCTGATACCTTAGGGGTTCCTTGACTTGACGCCTTCACGGCAAGCTGTTTTGCAGACCAGTTTGGTAGACTAATGCTTAGTCTCTGAATATATATAATTTTGATAGTAACAAACAAGCCCATTTAAATTGAAAAGGAGCCCTAGAAGGACCAGAGATTCAGAACCTGAGGAAATCTAGACTTGCTTTATTTAGGGCTTTAGCACTGCAGAGAGGGCTTAGCAGTAGGGAAAATAATGTGGTTCAGGGACTGTGAGACAGACTAACCAGTTTGGGTACGCTGCCGCCAGACGTCAATACGTCGTCTGTCATTTGCCCCAAGAGTAGCACGACGTCCCGATCCAGCCTGTCGCTCTGTCCCTAACCCAGCATCAAATTTCTTCAAATTTCGGTAAACAGAGGCCCAACGCAGTCCCGTCAGTTTCACAAGTCTAGTTACGGATGTAATACCTGCTTCATAATATGCCATTTCTGTTGTTTTGTAACGCCATAGCAAAGCTTCGGTATCGTCTGCTAGCAACGAGGTCACGTGATCAAGCCATCCCTGAACCCAAGGGAGATAATTCCATACCAACGATGCAAACTACTGGCTGATACAAACAATTATTTGGCTTTTTTGATAGTAGTCTACAGATCGAGTCTACAGAAGAAAGTTTTTTTTCGTCGCATTTTTTTCTGCATGGTAATATATATATATATATGTATATATATATATATATATATCTTTTTAAGATTCTGATTTCTTCTTTTGCTATTTATTATTTTCCTAGATTTTGTAGCATTGATTTCAGTTTTCATCTTGTTCTAAGATTGCACATATTTGTTTTTATGTTCTGGAACACATTTGGGTTCAACGGATTATAAGTAGATACAAAAGCAATTTCTTTTTCCTCATTGGTTTGTTTCATTGTTCCTGTCAAAAGATCGTCTCTCTATTAAGCTGTAAAGCTTTATATATCTACGTCTTCAACAAGAGATTTTGGATATTCCGTAATAGTAAAACGTCCTAAGTTCATTCAGTCTTTGATTGCGGGTGTCTTGGTTTGAAACTATTGTACATATTCTTCGATGCCAGGTTATATGGTAGACTTCTTTTGGGTGTGGCTCGATTTGAAGTTTAAATATTGTTTTCGTATCTGTAGGTTTGTAGAAGATATCTGTGTCCAATTTCGAGTGTGAAAATGGGGAGGAATCCCTAGTTAGAAATAAGAGTTTTTGGTGCGCCAAAAGGGACAAAACAAACATTTGGATACTTTTTGTGGATCAAATAAACAGTTATCCAATAATTCCTAACGCAAACAAGAAACACTCGAATATAACCAGCAAACAGAGAGATTCTTTAAACTCTTTGGCCAATGATCCGAACATCATAATAAAAGAAGCTGACAAAGGCGGAGCAACAGTGATAATGGATTCAACGAACTACAAACACATGGCAATGGACTTACTCCTGGACGAAGGTACTTATGTCCCGTGCAGTGAAAAGAGAGTCAGACAGTGTACTTCCGGAATTTAAAGAACCTAACCAGTCAGTACTCAAGAAGAGCTGACATCAAAGGAATTAAATTATATAACACATTTTGACTGCAAATCGAGCAATTTCTATGGCTTACCCAAAATTCATAAAAGTAAAGGAGATCATAAGACAATGTAAAAATCCTAAAAGCAGCTATGTTGAGGATGGAACACCCGGGAGATTTCAAACTCCGACCTATAATTGCAGGCCCAGCGTGTGCTACACATAGACTAAGTAATTTCATTGATATTTTATTAAAACCAATCTCATCAAATGTTAAAAGTTTTACTCGTGACACCATGCATTTCCTTTCCTCTTTACCACAAAACGTTAATGAAACAAAACAAACTTGTAACTTTTGATGTAAAAATTTGTATTCAAATATCCCACACAGCCTGGAATTAAAGTGTTGGATTATTGGTTAAACCGTTGTGAAGGACACATTCGAATTTCAAAGTCATTCATTTTGGAAAGCGTTGAATTCATCTTAAAAACAATATTTTCTCTTTTTGACGATAAGTACTATAAACAGATTAAAGGAACAGCCATGGAAACCAAAATGGCGCCGACTTATACGACGCTTGTCTTAGGATATCTGGAGGAAAAGTTCAAGCATAAAATCAGTCAAATTCTTGGAAGGATGTTGCCCATTATTTCATGGAAAATTGGAAAAGATTTCTAGACGACTGCTTCATAATTTGGCAATTTTCTGAGGGAGAAACTTAATACTTTTACGAACTATTAAATATGCATGGACGAAAATCTTGTTTTCACTATGGAGGCAGATCAAACTAAAACAGCTTTCTTAGACACAATGGTCATCAAATCGGGGCGGAAATTGGACACAGATATATCTTCTACAAAACCTACAGATACGAAACAATATTTAAACTTCAAATCTTGCCTTCCGAGCCACACCAAAAAGAAGTCTACCATATAACCTGGCACGAAGAATATGTACAATAGTTTCAAACCAAGACACCCGCAATCAAAGACTGAATGAACTTAGGACGTTTTACTATTACGGGAATATCCAAAATCTCTTGTTGAAGACGAATATATAAAAGCTTTACAGCTTAATAGAGACGATCTTTTGACAGGAACAATGAAACAAACCAATGAGGAAAAAGAAATTGCTTTTGTATCTACTTATAATCCGTTGAACCCAAATGTGTTCCAGAACATAAAACAAATATGTGCATCTTAGAACAAGATGAAAACTGAAATCAATGCTGAAATCTAGAAAAATAATAAATAGCAAAAAGACAAAATCAGAATCTTAAAAGATACTAACAAAGCCAAATTTATTTCAAAGAAACAGAATTTGTCAAATCCTACTGTGTCTAGATGCAACAGAGGTAACTGTGGAACGTGTCGACATATTGTTGAAGGACACTCTGTAACTTTCTCACGAGACACGGAGAATTCTATGTAAAACAGAATTTTGACTGCTCTTGCAAAAGCATAATATATGTCATAACATGCACAGGCTGTAATGAACAGTATATTGGTCAATCAGAAAATTTAAGAGCCGGGTTCGTGTCCACAAACAACAAATAAAGTGTCCTGAAACCCAATGTATCCCACTGGTGAACATCTAGATGTCTGTGCGAAAGGAAACGATGTTAAATTTACAATATTTCCTTTTATCAAGTTCAAAATTCGGACAAAGTAAAACGAATTTTAAAAAGAACACTACTTCATAGACAAGTACAAACCAATGTTAAACCATTGCAAGCTGTGACCTTGTCGCTCTAGAATGTTGTCCCTATTATGACGTCACAATATATATGTAATGACGTCATACTGTAACTACTACAATCTCCTGAAGAGTAAAATAGGAACGAAACATGTTGGAGAAAAAAAGGCATTCTGTTTTATTTATGTATGCAATATATATATATATATATATATATATATATATATATATATATATATGTGTGTGTGTATGTATATATGTGTACATACATTCAATCCAGTTATATTCTGTGCAACAAACACACATATATACACATATGTATATTCTCAGGCATAAGCTTATTGTTTATGGTGAAAGCACAAGTGGATCTTACCCTTACCAAACTCAAAAAGTTAGAAACAAGTCCTTTGGTGTTCCAACAGGAATATAACCAGTTACGACCCAAGTATAACACTCACGGATCCATTTTTACAGACGGTTCTAAGGATGATGGCCAAGTTGCCAGTGCCACAGTTATAGGATACAAGACTGTCTCCTCCAGAATCCCCGACAATAGTTCCATTTTCACTGCTGAGGCCAAAGCTATCTACACGGCTTTGACCTATATTTAACGGCAGAATCATTCCAAAAACTTCATCATTTTTTAAGAGTCATTGTCTTGCCTTCAGGCACTGCAAAATGTCACATTGAGTCACCCTATCATCCTGGACATATTAAAACTTTACAAAGATCTTTCTACTGGCCAATGTGACATCGTCCTCTGCTGACCGAGTCACGTAGGTATAGCAGGTAATACAAAAGCCGATGCTGCAGCTAAATCAGCACTTCACAAACCGTTATGCTCACTGCTTATCCCATAAAGTGATTTCAAACCTACTATCAAATGTTATACTCTGACCCTCAGGCAAAAAGCTGGTGCACCCAGGTAGGAAGAAATAAACTTCATGCAATGAAACCAAGAATCAGTTATACCTGCTTGGGTTGTCAGCCAATACGCGATAAGGTAATTTTACGAGGTATTGGCCACAGTCGGTTTACTCATGACTATCTGTTTTGGACATCCTATGACTATCTACTCGATGTGGAGTTTTCAAATGAGATGGACATTACGAAGCGATATGTCTGTTTTCCCGCGTCGTCTGGCATCTCATTGTGAACTACCTGAGGGAAGTTTACCTGTACCCTAATTTGATGGATTGTTTGTTGATTGAAATTTTCAAATTTGGTGCTATGACTTTGTAAATAATACGAAGCGAATAAATATGTTTTAAAACCCATCATGAGTTTTACTTGCAGACTTGGTCTGGTCGCTATCTGGCTGGAATAGTGCGATTAAAACTAACTCATGAGGGAGAAGTCATGCAACCAATTTACTGTCTAGTTTCTCCGCTAATTTGATATTGATTGTTTGTTGATTGATTGTTTCAACTCAAATTTGGTGCTATGAATCATTTTTTTCGGTTTACTCACTGAAATAATACTGTAATGAATATTCTATGTTTGTCCTAGAAAACCCTCAACTCATTTTAGTTTTGTACTTGATTTCATTTTGCCTACTGAGGAAGTGTTATTCAACCAATTCATACATTCGCTTTGTCAGCTGTGAAAACCAGGGTTGGAATCCCACATGGGTACAATGTGTGAAGCCCATTTCTGGTGTCCCCGTGACATTGCTGGAATATTGCTAACTGACTCACTCACTCTTAAGAGATTGCCTAAATTGAGTGATTCCATCCCCATGTTGACATGATACTTGGAAGATGGTCAGCGTGTAAAATCACAACCAAGTGTCAGTGGTCAATATTAATGGATATTTTCAATTGAGATCCATTCTGCATTAAAATTTCTGATGAATAATAAAGCGTTGATAAATTTCACATCACGATCAACAATGTGTGCAAATGATGACGTCTAAATATAGCCATCCACACAAAACATCAACTTCTTAGCTCTTTACCTTTGAATACATTTTGAATTTTATATTAATTTCAGAATTCCTAAAACCCTCGTTAAATCTGAAACATCATTTTGTACGACAAATCTAACCGAATTATTAGGTCCCTGACCTTTTAACTTTCTGTAAAGAATATGTTTTATGTTCTTACACATTTATGACGCATCTGTTAAAGTAAAATGAAAGATGTTTTCAATTCGACGCCATTTTACAAGTCAATGCTCATTGCGGTTACACATCTGTTTTATCGTTTCTTTTCCTTTCGGATTCTCAAGCTTTTTTAACCTTAGTTGGGATTTTTTTTCTAATTTTACAGTAATTTGCTGACATGGACAAATCGCATTTTTGGTTCAATTATATCTCATAGTTCCAGACGTGCAACCGCGACCCGTTTTTTAAGAAATACATGCTTGATAATGCATTTCAACTGGCTAAACAAGGTTAATGTGTTCTGTTTATGCTTTTACTTAAAATGGACATTAACAGAAAGAAAACAGGTCTATGATGAAAAATGATATGTTTACAGCAATTCAGAACATCAGGGCCTATTAAGGAAAACATTTTCAAATGATATCTACATTTTTCATTCAGCATCTGGATTTAGCTTTTATTGTTTTATATACATATATTGGCTGCACAAAACGCGAAAATGGGATGCAAACTATGACTGGATCACTGAAAATCTATAGTCCACAACTATTGTGGTTACCAGGGGAAACACGTATTGCTTTGAAGGCTTTGACTCCTCACGCCTAATACCATTGTTCGTTTGACAGCTTGGGTGGTATAAAATTATTTTAAACGTTGTCATCCTTCCTCACACACTCAACAGGCTACAATTACGGTCTGTATTGTACGTGACACACTTGACATTTGGCAGTACGTGCAGCCTATAAATCGTATATCAACTACTTTTAAAGCTCTGTGTATAATGAAAGTGCATGACTCCTACTGACACTCATTGCTACATAAACATGTATATCAACTCTTCAGTGGTCGTGTCGCTTGCATGCTCATGCTGTTGATCACTGGATTGTCTGGTCCTGACTCGATTATTTACAGACCGCCGCCATATAGCTAGAATATTGCTGAGTGCGGCGTAAAACTAAACACACTCACTCGTGTCCTTTGAAGTTTTTTCTGAGTTTTTTATAAGTTTAATCTTAATCGACCGACGACCGGTGTGATATTCTCTCCTAAAATTGTTAAAATTGTTATGTGTTGATTCTCAAGTTGAAACTAAAAGGTTAACCGCGAATCAGTTCGTAAGAGACCAAAGTGTAAAGAACAACAAACCAATGTGATGTAATTA